TCTATGTATCAATTAATTTATTGCAACTGCAATCGGTAATCTCTCGCATAACAAAAAAATTGGTACATGAAATAAAACTCATTCTATATGCAGTCTCCTGCACTACCACACTATCTAGTAATATTAATAACAGATTTCTAAAGTTATTTCGAGACGATTTTTCTTTATTGAAAATGTTGAAGATTTGTAACTAAACCTAAAATTAAAATTTTATTAAAGTGAACTTCACCTGGAATTAAGTGGAGAATCTAGCTTTGTTAATACTTTAACTTTACGAAATTAGCAAAAATTTATTAAGTAGAGAAGATCGTCATATTTTAATGAAGTGACGGCACTAGTGGTGGATTCTTTGCTTATTTATTTGGATATTTAACATATCCTCAAAAACTTTTTTAAAAATAAAAAAAAATTAATCATGTGTCAGTATTAAATTGTAAAAAATTTTATATTATTGTAAAAAACTTTTTTATGCACAAGACATAGTATTATTTAAATTACAAAAATGTTATATTAAACAAAGTTAATGTGCAAAATAGTTATTTCTTAATTGTTTACAAAAATTAGTGATATTTAAAAAAAATTACCTTTTTAAAAAAGGTGAAAAAAAGAAGTTGAGTCATCTCAGTAGTAAAAAATTATTGTATAAAACTATTTTACAAAAAATTATTTTTAATAAAAAATTGCTGTATTAAAAAAAATTATGTAAAATAGTTGTCATAATTATCTACAAAAATTAATGATATATTTAAATAGAAAATTACGTCGAGAATAAAAGAGTGTGTGTGTGTGTGTGTGTGTGTGTGTGTGTGTGTGTGTGTGTGTGTGTGTGTGTGTGTGTGTGTTAGATGTGATTGACTGCTGATAAATAATCAAATGAAGAAAAATTATGTTTATATTTTCGTCGAAAGTTATTACATCTTTGTCGTAAAAGTCAGAATCCCGATTTCTTCAACGATGAACAGTTGATGTAGTTCATGTAGCTCGTATGTACTAATGTGCATTTATACTGATGTTACTAATGTTACATCCTATCGTTCTGACAAAATTTGTCATGGAAAAATGCGTACTAGAAGTCAATCCGCATCTGACAACGTCTACTAACGTAAAGTGAAATCGTATCCAAAAAATTTATGCAATTTTTAATAGAAGAATTTATAATTGGAAAAAAAACCATTGTATAAAAAAAAACTTACGCAATTTTTTATAAAAAGATTTTCATTTAAAAAATTGTTGTACAAAATAATTAGTTTAATTTCTTATAAGAATATTAAAATTTAAATATTTATTTAAAAATTAAAAAGGGTCCCCTTTTAAGCAGGTATCTTTTACCTGGATGTAACGGGACGTGTCATATAAAAGCACGTTATGGATTTATGTATAATGAATAGGCCTGTTCGAGGCAATGTGTTCTCAGATTACTGTAGAGTGCAGGGTCCCGTTACATCCATTGTTTTCGCGTCGAGGTTAAAAAGTGAAAACCATATGTATAGAATGTCATAAACTTAAAACTATACATACTTTCTCTTAACGGATTCTTTAGAACATTTCAAGACGAAAATCCTATACAAAAATGTCGAGGCTATAAATATTTTTATATGCAAAGCAGTTTTAGAGAAACTGATTTTGAGAAAGTGAATTTTTGCTCTGTTTCTATTTTAAAGAATAATTTTAATATACAGTTTGTATATATAGAATTTTCTCGAATTACCTATCTTTTTAACAGTTAGAATCACAATTGGATAAAGATTTAAAAAAAAATTACAATGCAAACATCTATGCGTTATCTGATTGTATGTAATTTATTATATAATGTGTATTAGAAAATTAAAAATAAAATATAACATTGGAATAAACACACACACTGTTGATAAACGTAAAATAAAATCGCACTCTTTTATTCTCGACGTAATTTTCTATTTAAATATATCATTAATTTTTGTAGATATAATATCATTAATTTTTGTAGATAATTATGACAACTATTTTACACAATTTTTTTTAATACAGCAATTTTTTATTAAAAATAATTTTTTGTAAAATAGTTTTATACAATAATTTTTTATTACTGAGATGACTCGACTTCTTTCTTTTACCTTTTTTGAGAAAGATTCCACAAAATGATAACTGGCTATTCTCTTTATTAATATAATATGTCAAAATATATTATGTCTAATCTAAACAGAAATGAGAAAAATTTCACAATATTTACCTTTTGATTGATAAATCACAGTCCACTTGGCTGTCGTTAAGTGTCACAAATCAGGGTTTTTACAAATAAATGCACTCGGCGTCGCAACGCTACTGCGTCGCTTGATAATAACTTTTAATATGTCCCTTCTCTTAATATCTTTTAATAACTCATAATAACTTTTAATATGTCACTTCTCTTCCTTGGTACGTTATTACACAATACTTTTCTTCCTTGTTCTGCATTATACTTTTTTATTTTTACTCTTATATTTATTTCTTAAAATCTGTGTTTTTAAACAAGTAACCTAACTGCTTAACGTGTCACTTCTATTCCTTGTTACACTATTCCGCACTATACTTTAATAAATTTATCTTTCATACGTACGTACACATACAGATACATATCACACGTATGTACGCACATGCACACATATGATTTTGTCACTTAAAGCATTGTACATATCGAAGCAATAATCATATACGCAACGATGTGAACGCCGCTTGAGGGACAAACTCGCTTTGTGTGTGTGCGTGGGAGCATATGTACGTGAATCTGAAAGAAAAGGAAAAGGAAGAAAGAAACGAAATGTCACAATTCTGGTATTCGATCATCATTTCTCAGGATTGACTACACCGATTTTATTCAAACAGGTCGCAATCAAAAGCTTGTACTCATATTATATCATAAAAGTGTCGTTAGATTTTTGATTACGACTTTAATTTATTATATATCTTAACTGAAAGTTTATTTGACGCGAAATTCCGGATAAGGTACTTGGTAGCGCCGCATCGAGAACAGTGACTCTCAACTCAATGCTTAAAATTGTTTTTTATGTACTTGGTGTTACTACCGCGTCGCTTGATATTACAGCCGCCGCGCAGTCTGATTCCGCAATACCATAGAAAATAAAATTTTTATATTTTGCATTTTTTCGATTTGAAAATAATTGCAATAGATTAATGAAATTTTTTGCAATTAAAATGACACCAAACATGACATAAATCGGATCATTTTTAATTAAATTAATTATATTAAATTTTAATTATATATATTATTAAAAGTGATTCGATTTATGTCGTGTTTGGTGTCATTTTAACCGCAAAAATTTCATTAACTTATTGCAATTATTTTCAAATCGAAAAAGAGCGAAATAAAAATTTTAATTTTTACGATATTTAAATCCCTAACAGTTGTTATAGATAAGGAAAGGTTCCCGATTCGAAGCGAGAGTGAGAAGAAATAAGAAGCAAGCGAGATGACGAGTCATCAAAGAGTTCCGAAGTCTTGCTCGCCAGGCTCGCTTTTTTTTATCTTCATATTTATACATGTAAACTTGTTGGAAAATACAATTTTTATATTTCGCACTTTTTCGATTTAAAGATAATTGCAATGACTTAATGAGATTTTTGCGATTAAAATGACACCAAACATGACATAAATCGGATTTTTAATTAAATATATAATTAAAGTTTATTAATTAATTTAATTGAGGATGGAATGTTAAAGACCAATAAGGAACTGAACTAACTGATCTGAAGTGACTGACTGAAGTGACCGACTGAAATAACTAACTGGAGTAACCGATGAGAGCTCCTTGAGAGTTTCTCTTTTTATACAGTTCGGTTTACTTTTCCGATACGCACCATATTCTTCAATTAGATTCACAAAACTTGTTTGACTAAGGTGTCTAAGGTTTCGAATTTTTGTAAGACTTATCTAGCTATTGTTGATTAAATTTTTTGGTTTAGGTCAGCTAAATTTGTCATCGATTTTTTATCTTCCTCCCTAGTAGATAAGTTTGAAAAAAATAGGAATGTTACTATTTCTATTTACGGAGGGAGATTTATGTTATTTTATCGTCGATATATTTCTCTATTGCTCTGCCTGTATTTTTTATCTTCAGGTAATTATATGTTGAAGGAATCAGTTTTGCTTCATTATTAGCATTTCTTGCGAGCTTCTTCATGATTAGTTATAGATATTAGATGACAAATATAGATTATTATGAGGCGCGAGAGGCCCTATTTGATCAATGATTTTGCTTATCATTAATCGAACGGTCGCTGCTGCAACTTGAAAGGAAGAAATCGTGAAGTCGGCTAGACGTATTGAATGACTTGAACTACTATATATTAAAATTATATTGATGATTATAAAAGTATGCAATTGTAAAAATGAACTATAATTATTGCTCTATCTCCAGTATATTTATATTTTATATAATAAAGCTCTAATAATGTATAATATTTACACACAACGGTTACGGTTTATTATATCGAAGGATCACCAAATACTGACAACATTTTATAGATATGTATGATATTATAAAACTATAAAAAGTATTAAACACTAAGTATTAAGCACTATAAAAAGTATTAAACAACATATGAGATTATATAAACCATTTCATAATTGATGCACAGTACGACGATGCAGTATCTCGCAGCGATCTGGCGTGCATATTTTCCCGAATAATTCTAATCTATATACTACAGTTTACTAATAATCATAAATCCGCAAGTTATAAAGTTTAAGTAAAAATAAAAATGGAAATTCCAGTTAGTTCATCAATAAAAAAGTTTGACTAGTTAAGATTAAGACTAGATTAAGACTAGATTCACAAAAATTTGTTGGCATATATATAAAAAAAGAATTCTACATATATTCTTAATATATTTTATTTTTCATAATACAATATAACATTGCACTTTTCTTAAATCTTATAATATCTACAATATTACAATATCATCATAGAAAACAGTTAAAAATTATTTATGTATATCTTTAAAATACGTATATTATAAATCCTAAATTTTATTGTACACACTACCGACCAGAAAGTACTTCGTGCATAATAGAGATATCAGTTGGATAATTTTTTGACAAGTTTCCAGTTGGTACATAATGAGTGCCTTTAAAATGAGAAAAATATCGTCCTATCTCTACATTATTTATCCATTTTGGTGGACAACTTGACACAGTATCTAAAATAAAAAAAATATATTTTATATATTTATGCGCATGTATAAAGAAATGAAAAATAATATAAAATATATATATAATATATAATTTATAAGAGAGAATGCTACTAATATCTTATACATACCTTGTGGTGCATAACATACTATATTATTTTCCGCAAGAATTATATAGTGCGGTTGATAGGTAAATTTGGAATTGCCTGATTCGTAAGTGTAACATTTGCAGAAGCACATGTGCCGAGTTTCACAACATTCGCTGAGATGTGGAGCTACAGATTTTAATCTTTTGTGTATAAATGCAGCTTTACATTTGTAATTCCATCCAATTATCACACCAGTATGAGGATTATATTTCTCAGTCGAAGGCAAATATGGTTTCGGTGAGTGCGTTACGATCATACCAATAGTATATTTAATTTTTTTCTTTATTTCCGGTTTACTCCTCATGATGTTAACTCTATCCTGTATATAACAGATATCGCAATAATGAAATTTAAATAATACTTTTTGTCAAGTGTTTTCAAAAGTAATTATTGTAATGTGACTTAAACTATACAAATAATTATCACTATATATTGATATCTGACCTACTCATATATATATATATATATATATATATATATATATATATATATATATATATACAGGGTGACCCATTTTAATCGACGACCCCGAATAACTTTTTTAATTTTGATTGTAGGAAAAAATGTTTCAAACAAAAGTTGTATGACTTGAAGGGAGACATAAGATGGTGTCTTTAGTTGTAGACATTGAAGAGTCACCTGAAGGTCACGTGAAGGTCACATCCAACTTTTTAAATGGGACACCCTGTATGCTTTTGCATATTTTTTTAGTTCATCTCGAGAGCTTTCCAAAACACTATAATTAAGTTAGTTTTCGTTAAGTACTTTTGCGAGTTATGAGGCTTGAAATAATATCTTAATTTTACATAAATCGTAAAATATCTAGTAAAATATTTATTTTTCGATTATCCTACCTTAATACTTTTATGTACAAAATAATGAGAGGAATCAATTGGTGTAAAGGAAAAACACAGTTGTTTAAGAAAAGATATGGAATTGTTAATTGCAAGTTACATATTTTTTCTTCGAAATAATTGTGTTTTCTTTACAGGAATTGATGCCTCTCATTATTTTGTACATAAAAGTATTAAGGTAGGCTAATCGAAAAATGAATATTTTACTAGATATGTTATGGTTTATGTAAAATTAAGAAATGATTTCAAGCCTCATAACTCGAAAAGTATTCAATGAAGAAATACTTTATTATAGTGTTTTGAAAAGCTCTCGAGATAAGCTACAAGAATAAGTAATGAAAAATAGGGGGTTCCATTAAAAAAATTGAAGGTGGCCTTCGTGTGACCTTCAAACAACTTTTCAAGATAAAACCAATGATACCATCTTATGTCCCTTTTCAAGCCATACAACTTTTGCCTGAAACATTTTTTCCTACAATCAAAATTAAAAAAGTTATTCGGGGTCGTCGATTAAAAAATTGGGTCACCCTGTATATATATATATATATATATATATATATATATATATATATACAGTACATTATATACAACGATGATATATTATATACACTACCTTTATTGAATTTGTAATATTTCGATATTCATAATCGATATCTATATCTTCAATATCACTTTTTAAACATCGTGATAAGAAACTCATCAAGTTATTGACCTTCAAATTGTGAAGAATATTACAATGATTATTTATTAGTTCACAGAAATGCGGAAGCTTGAATATAATCTTTTGTATTTGCTGAAAAACAATAGACAAGTAAACAAGATTTCAATTATAGAAGAGAAAATGAAAAAAACTTTACTTATCGCTTATAAAATACTGACTTATTGACTACTATATTATTTACAAGAGTTATAATTGATTGTTATCTTCATCAATTATTTCTTGAAATTAGTAAGAGAACTATATATAAAAAATTGTTTACCGATATATCATATAATGGATCCATTGGATGCATAATGGAACAACTCCCATCGACAATATTCACCGGATACATAAACGATTTCTCCATCACATAAAAAAATTCTGCCGATTGACAACCTTCCGTATAACTAAAAATAATAAAAAAATGATTATATATACATATATATATTTATTTCAGACAGATTGAAAAGCTCTCAAGCTAAAATTGTATACTAACTACTTTGATTCCCATACGATTGTCGTTACAAAACCTTCGTCATATCCACAGTGCAAAAAGCAGCGTAAACCAAGTCTTCTAGCTATACTGTGGTATCCAATAGTCAGAAGAAATTCTTGATAATATCTTAAAATCTATATCATTAAATTTTATTAGAAAAGTTATCTTGAATATTTATAAGATATAAAATTATGTTTGCGCAATGCATAACAAAATATTATTATAATTTAATATAATATAAAATAACTTACATAATCTACATATTTAGTTTTAACATCCAATGTTTCAAATAAACGACATAAATAAATAACACCTGTTTCGGAAAACATAATTTCTTGAATAATATATATAATTTGTCTCGATTCCGTTGGTTCCCAGAAATTATCATTAATGTTGTTTTCTCTCCAAAAAGAAAATTGCTCGGAAGATAGAGAGAATGCAGAATGTTTAGGATATTCAGTTTTTAGGCAAGATAGTACTTTTTGCACAATATTCTCTAACCATGTATCAATGACTGAGTAAGTTATACATGGTAGAAAATATTGCGCGATGATAGTAAGTTGTCTTTCTAAAAGTAGCTTTTCCTTCGGCATGGACATAAATATGTTTTGTTTATATATTAATCGATACTGTTTTATCCAATGATAAATTAAGCCAAAATTATACATAACTGTCAAATTAGAATCGTGTCTGAAAAAAATTTACATATTTTTTTAAATGGTACAATATATATTTATTTTAATTTATAACATTAATGGCAATTTGTTTATTAAATTTTACCGTAATAGTAATTGTGTTGAAACAATTCTATTTATATCGTCCAAGATAAAACGGTAAATTATAGAATCTTCAGCTATGGAACGCAAAAGACTATTTAATTCCATTTTTTTGGTATCGCATAAGTTACTGTGAAACATTAATGAGACGTAATGCCGCAATTTTTCCATACATTTTATACTTTCTTCTAAATGATTACAAATTTCCGTCAATCTCTCTTCGCTATGCCTTCTTTCCGAAAAAGAAAATCTAAAATTAAAAAAAAATTCTTCAGAAATATATTAAACAACAAATATCATGGATAAATTATAGACGATATACTTTTTCACATATATTTTTAATTATACGCACACGCACACGCACATACACACATACATATTTATATTTAGGCTAAATTAAGGAAATTATAAATATATATTTTTCTATTTATTAAAAAATATATGTAAAGAAAATATACATAAAGGAGGTGGGTCATTTAATACGTTTTTTGATTCCCACAGGATTTTCAAAAAACATTTTTTTTTATCGTATGGTCATAAAGAATATTAAGAATAACTATTAGAGAAAATTATAAAAGACATTATAAAAAGCCATGAAAAAAATTCCATCCATAAAACCAAAATTAATTATTAGCTTAGATATATCTATTATACCCAAGTTCTTTTTTATTATTAATAAGTGACTAAGTTAATAAGTGAAATATTATCGCTTATATATTGTACTCCGCCATCATAATTTTAAATTATAATATGCATTACCTTTAAGGTAAAAGTAAATACATTTTGGTATTGAAAAAATTAATTTTTTATTATTCTTGACATATGAGTGACCATAAAAAAATAGTGATTATGTATGTATAGGACATTAGTTACAGATTTAAGCTTCTACCGGCTATGATCATTGACGAAGTTTTATTAATTTTTTTATTTCATTAATTTTTAATTTCGTTTTTCAGATTTTTATTTCAAGTTTTTTGAACATATTAATATCGCTGCGTTATCTTCTTTCTAATGTGAAATAAAGTCTTTTCTAATAATAATTGCATATTTTCGATAATTCTTCTTCCTCTGTCCAACAGGATTAATCATGGGTAACATATATACGATTTTTAAAATCTCGTTATTCTCTCTGTACTGAACATTATAATTGTATTTAGAGTAAAACTTTTACAACTTTGATGCAGTATAGAGGCTTAAATCTGAAAACAACCAATAATATTATATATATATATATATATATATTCACTTATTTATTATAGTCACTTACATATGTTAAGAATATTAAAAATTCTTTTTTTCATTATGACCTGTATTTACCTCTATCTTGAAGATGATTCCCAGGTAGCAAGATAACGTCTAAAGACATCTTAATCTATCTATCTATCTATGGCGACTATGATTATACGTCATTAAGATGTCTTTAGACGTTATCTTGCTAGGAATTACCTTCAAGATAAAGATAAATACAACTCATAATGAAAAAAAATAATTTTTTATTATCCTTAACATATGTAGGTAATAATAAATAGCTGATTATATATTGTGACGTTGCCGTCCTGACGCGCGCCCATCCCGAATATCTTGACGGGGCGCGAGCCGAGCGGCCGCGCTAGAAAAAAAAAAGAAATTGCGAGAACCGCATCGAGATATTGTTATATTTCACGTTATTACTAATTATTCTTTTTATAATATTTTGTATGTGAGGCAACCCGCCGAAGAACATTTAAAGAAGGAAACATCGGGGAGAAGAGGAATCTTTTGACGATAATCGACACGGCGCTACCAGCCTTCGATTCAAGAGGGGTGATAGCGCCCGAGGAGCAGGACAGCGCAGAATCGCGAGTGGAATTCGCCCCCAGCAACAAGAGGATAAAAATCTTAAAAAGAAACCGCTGTCTTGGACCGGGATGGCAGGGCCCAGTCGGCGCTACCCTCCGAAGATGGAGGACGAACGATCGGCATCGGGAAGACCATCGATAGACGCCGAAATTAAGATTTTCGAATTAACGGGGCTGTTACGGCCCCCTATACGGCGTTGTCGCGGGGCGCAGTAATATCTCGCGTGTCGCGGCGCTATTGGTCGTGAATCCGCGCACCCCTGCGCGCAGGATTGACGCCGTTATCGCGAGATCCAGGGACTCACTCTGGTGCGGGTATTCATAGCGTACAATTGTCTCGAATTTTTTTCGTTATCGTTAATTGTGTCGTCGCTATCAAGATCCGAACGAGAGGACGAAACCAAGGATCATCCTCTGGCTACAGAAGCGAGTATAGGTGAAGTTGCCCATCTCTAAATTGTAAGTCATGTACGCGATTCCGCCCGTAGACCGGCCGCACTGTCGCCATTTTCGTGTCTTCTTGTTGCTCCGGCTTTGTACTGAACTTTCGATTTTCAGCCGACCAGAGACCAAGCGAGACATCAAGGACGATCGTAACGTCGGCCGTAATTGATAAATAACCGTTCGTCTTTCTCCGTGATT